ACAACATTAATCAATAACGTGTAAGTTCCACCACAGCATTAATCAATAAGAGAGATCCTAACACACATGAAATCAGACTAACGAGCAGAGAAAACAGGTCATCTACGACCTACAATCACCATTTCATAGGTACAGGATCACACGATCCAACAAATAAAAGATATAACCCTCACAAAAGTCTGCCAACATTTACAGGATCACACGATCCAACAAATAAAAGATATAACCCTCACAAAAGTCTGCCGACATTCAGTGGTTTGGATTCATTTACTCTCCACTTGGTACACGACCAAGGAAAGAAAGAAAACTTTAGGGTTGTACCAGTTGCAGATCTGATTTGATCAGCCCAGATTCAGTCCTCTATTCCGCCTAGATTCAGCAACTTGAAGAGAAAAAACTTGGTCGCCCAAATTCAACAGCCTTGCTCTGATACCATCTTGACAATAAATCCGATTGAAATATGAGGAAGTAGAGAGGAGAATGAAAGAAGAGAGAAAGGAGAAGGAAGAAAGGAAGACGAAAAAGTTTGGAGCAATAGAACAGTGTTGGCGGCGCCAGCTTTTATTATATTATATAGGGCGGCAGAAATAAGAAGGGAAAAGACCCTTGTGCCCCTGTTGTAAGTGAGTACAATAACAGAAATAACAGAAACAAAAAACGCTTTAACTAGCCAAACAGGCCCTAACACAAATAACTACATTATTTCAACAAAACCAATTTTTTATGTATGGATTAAGAATTTTAAGACCTTTGTGTGGACTTTTTTGGGCTTGCCTCATGGGGCTTAGTTGAGGGTCTAGGGGTGGAGCTCCAGGGAAAAAAATATATCCATAACAATAACCACATGAACAAAATATCCATATCAACAGAATATTTACCAAGTACAAAAATAGACTACAGAATAAGCTAAGCATGTCACAAACTAGCTTTCAGGAAAAGTAATTTAAGCTTTTTATACCTGCTTCTTAATCTTGTCTATACCATCGATATGAGAAAGAGCATCAACTGCTGCTACCAATGAAATCATCCCCTGGACATTTGTTCAAGATATTGCATGTTGATCACATTAAAATTAGAAAATATTCATAGCAAAATAACTGAATCCAACAATGATGAATTTCTATTTTTAGTAGACTTTATCTTACAGATAAAGGAGAATCAGCACCAAGACTCTTGTCACGGAAAAATGATGCAGAATCCATGGATGCCACTGCTAGTAAGATGGGCTTGGGCTGTTCTGAGGATGAAATATTAATCGGTGGAAGAGAAGACCAGACACTGCCCTTCACATTTCAGAACCACGAATAAAGGTTAAGGTGTGAAAATCATCTGGATTATCCTTCTCATAAAGTCCCAGATCAATAATGTATCCCAACTATATCCAAAAAGCTCAAACTATTCTATGGAAGGAAAATTCAAATTTCTATATTATTAAAAGATAAGACACTGACCAGAACAAAACAGCCTATAGCATATAAAGTTAATTTCCACTTATCTCCCACAAGCATTGTATAATCCTTGTAGGATTAGAACATAGGCAATCACATACTAGAATTTTGATGTTGTTTAGTTAATGAAATTCGAAGCATTCAACAAGGTGCTCTCCCTAGAGAAAGAACCACCTAAATGCAAACAATGGCCCAATAAATGAAAACCTAAGCAGCAAAAGGTAAAAGCCATGTTTCCTTGCAGTAATGTTTCATCAACTTTAACTTGAATGTACAGTATCTCCTCCCCCACCTACCAAGACAACCTAAGATTTTATAAAGGGAGGAGATCCAATGGTTTGTTCTTTTAGCAAAGGCTGAACAACCAAGGAATCTTCCATGCGGCAAATTTGTTTGGAGACAAAATTGGACCCGCATATCCTCTCCCTATTATCTATTAACAAGAAAAAATTGAGACCAAAAACCTTTGCCACTTAGCCCCCCCNAAAAAACAAGACAAAACAAAACTCTTCCACATAGCAGAAATATAGTAGGTCATGTAGGAGAGCCCCCTGCTTGGTCAATCAGGGAATTTGGTTTAGTTGGTTGTTTTTTGTATGTTTGGGCTTGGAAGTTTTCTTGGGTTTATTAATTGGAGACTTTTTTGTGTAGTGCTTGGTTATTGTTTGGGTGCTCTTTTTGTTGTGAAGGTGGTTAGGACAGGTTTTGCTTTTCCCTTCTCCTTCTCTCGGGTGACTTCTTGTCACTTTCCTTGTATTTCTTTTTTTTTATCAGTAAATATGTATTTTATTAAAATTCAGATTGTAAGCAGTTTATACAACTTGATGATGGGACTGCTGATCCCTTTTAATCACTCTATTCACCCCTCATTACAGTGTAGCCCAAAATAATTGCTGTCTCAATGCCCCTTGCTTTGCTAATCCATCAGCTAGCCCATTTGCACTTCTTCGGACCCATTTAAATTCAGCCTCAACCTCCTTTGCAATCTTCTCCACTTCCCTAATCACATGTTTAAACGTCCATGGGGGTGGATGCAATTTGTTGCCCATGAAATTACTACTTTTAAGTCCCCTTCCACTTCAACATGTCAGCATCCAAGTTGTTTGGCTAGCTTTAACCCCTATAGTAATGCCAATAGTTCAGCCTTCAGCGAGTTTCCGTTGCCAATCAACATACCCAATATCCTCCTATCAGAGTTTCTTAATACTACTCCTATTCCTGAGATGCCTGGATTTCCATATGAGCACCCATCAAAATTCAGCTTTACTTTATTGCCTTCAAGTGGTTTCCACTCCAGCCTTACTTTATCTCTTACTCTCAAAGATTGTGCTACTCCGGACCATGTTCTTACCCAATGGGCTACTTTCACCTTGATACTATCAATCACTTCCTCTATTGTTCTACTTTTTTCCAAGAAAATTCTGTTGTTCCTCTCTTCCCATGTTACCCAACAAATTTCTGCCTTTGTTGCTTTCCACATTACCATCCCTCTTTCTCTGTCTCAAGAAATCATGGTTGAAGAGTCCTGCCACATCTTAAGGGGGAACCCACCTGCAGCCAAAGAGAATACAAAAGAATTCCCAAATTCGATGCACAAAAGAACAAGATATCATTAAATGAGAAAGGGTCTCACCACTTTCCTTACACAGTGAACACACATGAGGAGAAAGGCAAATATATGGCCTTCTTTTCTGCAGCATATCACAAGTGTTTACCTTACCAAGGAATACTTCCCAGCAGAAAGCTTGGATCTTCGGGGGAATAGGCTTGCACAAAATTTCTTTCACAGGGAAAATCCCACCTAGAGGGTTGGGGGAAGCAAGTACTTTGAAGAAAGAGAAGCAAGAAAAGAGGACGTCTGGAGAGCCTACCCAGATTCTAGAGTCTTCCAACGAAGGGTCCAAGTGGATCTTCCCTAAGAGTTCTAGCAAACGGATTAAGGATTCACACTCATTCTCCCTTAGTCCCCTTCTAAAGCCCAAATTCCAGTTCACACCAGTTGGACACGGTGATCCCAACATGGATATAGCTTCCCCCTTAAGGTTAGATAGCGCAAAGAGATCAGGGAATTGGTCTTTTAGTGGGGTTTCCCCTACCCATAGATCTTCCCAAAACAGAATTATATTACCTTGTCCCACATCGAACTGGATGGAATTGAGGAAAGTAGGATAGATTTCATGAATTGCTTTCCAAGGAGAAGCTGAAGACCTGTGAGGGGAAACTTTTGCATCCAAGCCATTTCCAACCACCCCGTGAATGCTCTCAATCACTTTGTGCCACAACCTGTCGCCCTCAAAGGGAAACCTCCAAAGCCACTTACCTAGTAGAGATGTGTTCCTTAAAAGGATGTTCCCAATTCCCAAACCCCCTTGTTCCCTGGGTTTACTAACCTACTCCCACTTGATCAAGTGATCCTTCCCTTCCTATCTTGGGTCCCATAGGAAATCTCTCATATACTTCTCTAAGCACCCTGCTACCTTAGAAGGGATTCTAAAAGTTGAAAGGAAATAGGTGAGGAGGTTTGCCAGAGTGGCTCTAATTAGGGTTATTCTTCCACCCAAAGAAATGTAATTCCTCTTCCAAAGGGCTAACTTCCTATCAAACCTTTCTAACACTGGTTTCCAAAAATCAGCTGACTTGGGATTTCCTCCTAAGGGTAAACCTAGGTAACTAATAGGCCAGCTTCTGATCTAACACCCTAAGATTTCCCAAAATCTTATTAGTTCTCCTTCCTCCAAATTGACCCATACAATTCCACTTTTGGTCCAATTTATCCTCAGCCCTATTACTCCCACAAAATTATTCAGCAGCACCCTCAAATTTTCCACCACCTCCTCATTGTTTCCTTCACAAAAAAATATAGTGTCATCTGCAAATTGGAGATGGGTAACAATCACTCGGTTTCTACCTACCCTCCACCCTCTGATGAGGCCTTGACATCAGCTTTTGCAAATTGTTTCCTTGTATTTCTTTTTTCTTTCAATAAATTTGTATTTTATTATGAAAAAAATAAGGGAACCTTTCACTTTCATAGATAGCCAACTCATATAATCTAACAATAAAAATTGTGGGAACCAATTTGGTTCCACCATTTATAACTAATAGCCATTAAGTAATGTATGAATTCATATACTTGCATAGTACATACAGTTAATAATATAATAATTTTATCTAACACAAACCTTAAATAAATTATTAAAATGCAAAGGACAAAGATAATTTTGATCATCCTTTTAGGCTCTGATTGTTTGCAGTGTAAATCCAAACTGGGTTCCAAATTTGCACCCTGTTTGGATTCACATGTATTATTCATAACAAAAAATTGCACTCCTTGGGGTAAAATTTGCACTTTTAGCCTTATTTGCACTCATTGTCAATGCAAATTCTTCATCCCAAAAAATGATGAAAGCCTTGCTTCACATTCCCTCAACCTTCATTTACTCCCATATAAAGTGTGGACCACATCATTTTATTTCCTATTTTACTCCTCTCATATGAACAAAACAATGTAAAATGTGAAGCAAAAGGGGACCAGAATTTGCACTTCCCCATTTACATTGCTATGCAATGCAAACAATTGGAGCCTTATGAAAAATAAAAATCAGTTTCTTGAAAATTGATATTAGGATTCTGCTTGCAGTGCAAATCATAACAGGATACAAATTTTGCACTTGGTTCAGTTTTGTATCCATTTGCTTGTAACTATGATTTGCACTTTATCTGATACAAAATCCATACTTTTTGTCTCATTTGCACTCACTGGGAGTGCAAGGTTTGCATCTCAAAAACTGATGCAAAAATTTACACCACATTCCTACCTCAATCCTCTGACCTCTCTTATATAAAGTAGGGCTGCATCACCTTGCTTCCTACCTCACTCCCAAACAAACAGCCCTCTTACTTCTGTTCTCTTTCATATAAAGTGAAGACTATTCCATTTTACTTCTCACAAATAAAAAAGACAGTCGAATCTGAAGCAAAAGAAAACCAGAATTTACACTTAGCCTATTTGCACTCCTATACGTTTATACCAGTGCACATGAAACTCACAGTGCAAATAAGCTGAGCCTAGAGAATAAAAGAAGTCTTTTGAGAAGAGGTATCATTAACAAAGGATGACTTAATGGATGTTTTTGAGGAGTTTTTTTATCAATAACAGAAAAGACTTTATATTTAATTAAAAATAAAAGGATGCAAGGAAAGAAACATCTTCCAGATCCCGTCGAGCCAAATCCCAAATATATTAATGGGGGAGTAAATGCCACTTTTGTTGCCCTAATCCCTAAAAAAGATGGGCAGCCCATCCCAAGGACTTTTAGACCCATCAGCCTAATAGGGGGGCTTTGCAAAATCATTTCCAAGGTTCTTTCTCTTAGGATTGAAAAAGGTGCTAGCCTCTGTAATTAATATCAAGGGGTGTTTGTGACTTTGTACAAGACAAATAATTGATTAAATCCTTATAACAAATGAGTGTGCCCAAGAAATGAGAAAATCAGGGAGAAAAGGTTGGGTTTGCAAGCTGGGAGTTCCTGGAGGAGGTCTTAGAAAAGAGTGGTTTCACTGAGAGATAGAGGAAGTGGATTTGAGATTGTTTAGGATGTTCTCCTTACAGTATTTTAGTGAATGGCTTGGCTAAATATTTCTTTCCTGTGAGGATAGGCCTTAGACAGGGTAACCCCATTTCACCCTTCTTATTCACAAATCACATTAGTAGCATATGTGCTCAGTTGCCACATGGCCCACATTTCCAGAGCAGATAATAGGGGTCTCACTAAAGGCTTCAGAATAGGGCGTGAATAGGTAGTAGTTTCTCACTTGCAATTCGCTGAT